AAAGCAGCATCCCTGCTTTTGGTCCAAAATCACTCCAGAGGCCGCTGGATGGGGTGTTGCCTGTTCGACTTCACCCAGTGAGATTAACCCGTAGCAATAGACTGAGCAGGTTACTAATTAGTTTAGCAGGTTTAGACAGTTCCTTGGAAAATCTGTATCCAATTTGGGAAACTCACTATTTTGAGCAGCAGCAGAACACAGTGATGAAAAGTGGTTGCCCAAACCTTTCCAGATGGTAGGATTTAATGGGTTAGTGAGCGGTGCATTCACGGTCCCCACTGCAGTCAGCAAATTCGACTGTGCAGCTTGCCAGCGCGAGGGTCGGGATGGTTTGAATGCACTCTGACAGCATTTTGCATTGTCTGTGCAGATGAGGGTTTGCTGGCTCCGCTAAAAGCCGTGTATGGAAAGAGGACCCCGACCGGGCTCCACACCTACCACACTGGACGATGCTCCTGAACCGAATGTCGCATGCCGGGCCGATCCCGTGCACCACGAAAACCAAGTGATCAATTTGCAGAGGCTCCCCTAAGGAGGAAAGAAGAGTTCAGAGTACGGGCCCTGCGGGAGACAACACTTAATGGGGAACGGACCCGCTGAAACCACATGCTCTGCCGGAGAGCGGAGCCTCCCATCCTCACCTCAGCCAGGTAAACATCCCTGAGTCGGTGCCTGGGGTCTGTGCCTAAAGGGCAGTGGGATTTCTCATGTTTCTGAACTGTTTGTCCTGCCAATTTCAGCTGCCCACCCTGGGATGGATCCGGATCAACGGGACCATAGAGGAAGGCGAGGCGGCTTGTCCCCCCTTCTGTCACCATCCTCACTTCAGCGGGAGCGGATGGGCCTCGCAGTTGACACCCACCCGGCCATGGGGCACGTTCAGCACAGGAGAGGGCAGGACCAGGAGCCACCCGGCCCCCGCGTAGCTGCATCTCTCAGGTAGGCACCAGCTGAGGTTGCGTCTCGTTCTCTGCTTCCCACACACTTTTGTTTGCATACGTACTTTCCCGAAGGCACGCACGCATGGAAAATGAAGGGGTTAGACAGGAGTAACTGCCTGTCCTCACCACGGGGCCAAGTCCCGAGGCCTCACCGGGAGCTCAGGGACAACTGGGAGGGGGCAGAGCCGACCCACAGCTTCAGAGACAGGGAGGGCACGTGCGCCAGAAAGTCACCTGCATGTGGGTAAGTGACAAACCCCTGTGTCCCTACCACAGAAAGAAACTCCTCCTTTACGAACATACACACCAAGACCTCAGGGTTAATTTCAGGCACTGCAGTGCTTTCAACAGCTCTGGTCTCAGCGCAGGAGCTGGAAGCACAGTGTGTCTGCCGCCTCGGCACGTTCAGTTATGCTGCGGGCTCTCTGGTGCTAGGAAGGTTTCTGAAAACCATTCAGTTCCTTTTGGCAGGAAACTTTTAGATATGCCCTTCATTTAAAGGATCAGGGAAGCTTCTGTCAGTCATTTTGAGAATGCGGGTTGGAAAACAGACTCTCTAGCTTTGGAAGGGTGGGAGGGAGGGAGGGAGGGAGGGAGAAGCGAGCTCACCACTGGGGATCTCGGCAGCGATGTTTTCTACTCCTCTCTTCACAGTCCGAGGTCGACCTTGTTCCGTAGGAGTTGAGCCCCAGTCATCGGAGGTGGCGACCGGGTGGTAGTGCACCATCAGCTTGTAAACAAGAAGAGCGTGTCATTAAGCCGCGCTGCACACCATGGTTAAGCAGAGGAGAAATTTTGCTACAAGAGCGGGTAGGTGGTACACGATGTTTAACTGCGCTGGTACGAGTCCTTTGCACAAAGAGAGTGAAAGGTGTGTTGAAAAGAAACATGAAGGTGTGAAGCGGACTCTGTGCTGGCATTGCCCTCGACCCTGGCACGGGCGGGCGAGGGGCAGAACTGATTGCTCAGCAGACATGGTTGAAAAAAAACCCAGCATAAAGCCAGAGCATAAAGACAGACCCTGAAGAGAACGGAAGAGATGTCCTTGCTGGTCGATACACAGATCGCCAGGCCCTCCTCACCTTTGGGTTGTGCAAGATAATGATTTCCCTGCTGGGGGACTCCAACTTCTTCTTCCACTCATCCAGGGTCACAGCAATCATGTACGCTTCCTGAGGAGGAGAACACCTTCTGTGAGTCAGCTGAACGTATTCCCATGAATATTCAACCGCCTGGGACATACCTCACCCATGTTACGGTATCTCTTATCACCACATTTTGTGAAAGAGGCAGTGAAATCAGCCAGGCCAAGCTGGAGGAGCAGCAGGGTCATCTGAATATCGCCTGCTAGAGAGTTTCCAGGAGCCCCCATTTTAGTAGCAGCAGCAGACTTCCCCATCCATTCTGGATGGTATTTTTTGATACATCAGAACACAGATTGTTGTAAAGATGTATATTTTTAAATATATATATCTTTCCAAAGAAAGTCTCCAGCTATTAACAGTGCAGACCACTGAGGTCCCTAACACCACATAGCGTTCAGTGGGTCCCCGTAACGATGACTGCTCTTTCTTGCATTCACAACTCCTTTGGCTTCAGTGAGACTGGGAGCGCAGTGAGGACGATTCTCACGAGGAGAGTCAAACTGAAGTTAGAGCAGACAGGGCCAGGAAAAAACACAGCAAAGCTGCTAGAGCCAGGCTGCAGGCAAGGCCAGAGCCGCACAGCACGCCGAGAGCACCCGGGCCCTTAAACGTGTAGCAGAAGGATGCCGACGGGGCTGGACAAGGGCAGGAGGAAGGGGAGGCCACCCGGTTACAGCGGGCTGGGAGGGAGGCAGTGGCAGTGTTTAAGTTAGGTTAATCAGCTGCGAAAATGCCGTGCCAAAGCCTCTTTCGAGTTCACCTCCTCAGGTGTGACTGTGGTGCCAGTTCCCCCGTGTGGAGTTTGGGACATCGGGACCAGTATTTGACAATGAGAAGCCAAGCTGCTTCTCGGCAAGACGGAGGCTACCAGGAAAGGCATGTTTACCTCCAGTTCTTCACTGAAGGTCTCCGAGTAGGGAATATACTTGTTGTCCTTGTCTCCCTTGTAAAACCAGGTGCAGCGACGCACTTCAGATACCTCCTCCTCCCAGTACACTGCCACACGCTGCCTCTCCTTCAGATGCACGTCATACCTTCCCCCCGAGGTTGGGACAACCACATCTTCTTTGTCTCTCCCTGCAGGAACCAAGGCCTGAAATTAATCACGAGAGGACCAGAAAGGCATGCTACCAGAAAGCTGTACACCATGCCCGATCACAGGGATGAGACTGGAGCATCTCCCGTGCGCAGCACACATGAGCGTGTACGAGCAATGGCAGTAGACACCAACGTCCTCCGTACCCGAGCACGGAGAACAGCATCAGTGGGCATCCTGCGAGAGATACCCCAAGTCAAACTTCCCCCAGAGGCAGAAGGTAAGATGAAGGCATTAAACTACAACTGTCTTCCTCTCTAGTTCAGGCACAGCCTTACACGGACTATTCCTGCCCCACTTAGATGGTAAAACGTGAATTTGTGGCCCTGGGAAGCGCGCTGCATAACGGTGGAGGTGTGGGTCTCCAGGTCTCTAAGCCATTCCCCTCTAGAACAAAGAACTCCGCACAGATCCCAATACGGCCTTCACATTCTGTTAATTCTGCTGCCTTTTGGGTCTGCCCGCTGGCCAGGCTGCCGGCAGAGCACCCCGTGCCAGGCTGTGCTCGGCACAGAGCGTCCCGGGAGAGGGAGGATGGGAGCGACCCTTGGGCGATGGGTGCTCTGCCCACCGCTGTTGGCAGCAGCGGTGCTTGCAGCACAGTCCTGGCAGCGGGCCGCATGGACGGGCAATATTCGGCAGCACGAGGGCCTCATGGCAAGCGGTGCCACTCCGAGCAGACCCCGGTGCCCGGGCAGCACCTTCCAGGAGCACCGTGCACCCGCACGGGAGGGATCTCCCCAGCGGGATTGCTGCCATCCTGCTAGCGCTCACTCTCCCGTCCACACCAGAAGGGTGCTTCGCAGTTTGATGATGTGTAATTTAGAGCATCTATCAACCGAATGAGGTCAGACCATTGGATGCATCCAAACAGCTTAGTTATTCATGTGTTCACAGCTCTACGAGTGGGCACGTTGCCAAAAAAAAAAAAAAAACAAACCCAAAAAAACCCCCTCCCGATTTAAAATTCCCGAGGGAAAATTCTGCACCCTCGGCAGAAGCCGGGGATGCGTCCAGGGAATTCCCCTCTGATACTCGCACGGTGCTCCCCCCGCGCACACACCTGATGCTCTCCCGCTGCCCTCCCCCCGGCCGGTTCCTTACGGCGATTTTAAGAGCGGGGACGAGGTGTTTCACATCAA